GAGACACACACACACACACACATAGAGAGAGAGAGAGAGATAGAGAATACACCAGTGAATGTCTGAATGATCCTGAGCGTGTGTTTGGGAACGAGGGCGGACAATAACATCACATAATTGACAAGCAGCCCAATAATGATTATTGTTATTGATGATTATGGACAATATAGCCAAAGTTAAAGACAAGTCACTGATCTATGAAGTATTAAACAGCAGCCAAATGGGATACATGGAATATGTGCGTGTGTGTGTGTGAGAGTGTGTGTGTGTGTGTGTGAGAGAGAAGCAGGCCAAACTCTCATTCTCCGACACAGCAGCTCTAATCATCTAAACCTAATCACTATATTCCCTGTTGAAGAATCAATAACATAAGTCGTTAATGTAGTCGGAGTATCAATATGTCTCTTCTGTATTCGTTATTTTAGCACCTCGGAGCTCATAATTAGCAGCGATTAGCCCTCTCTCTCAGGAAGCACTAAAGATTCACACAGGATCGTGTCAGTCTCCATATTTCACACATACCTGTTAGAAATTATCTGTTTTAGGCGTTTAATGTGACCAGCGCAAACATCCGCTCTCAGTCCTCTTCCGCTGCTGACGTCTTCTTCTTCTTCTTCGTCTTCTTCTTGGTGTTTAATGGCGGATGGCATACAACTTTTAGGTGCATTACCGCCACCTCCTGATTAGGAGTGTGGATCAGGACCGTACTCTTCACTCCCCTTGTCCAAATACCCACACTTGCGGTCTTTGCACTTGACCACTTGACTACTTATATGACGTATTTCCTGTATTTGGCCCAAATGTTCAAGTGAGAATGAAGACCACAAGTGTGTGTCGAACTTTTCATTACCTGATGGGACACACTTATAGTGTTGTAAAAATGCAAGTGTTTACATAGCTTTATTTTAATTTTAATCTTTTGCATTTTAAAATCAACTTCTTAATGTCTGTTCAGTAGTCCCTATAACAGATGACAATGTTAATTTGTGGTGCTTCTAATTAAGTGATAAAAAGCAGTTGCAAATGTTGTACAAAATAAATATCACCACTACTCATCTTTGCACCAATAAAACGTAAAAACACTGTTTTTCTACCAAATTATATGTAATATCTAATTATTATATTAATATTTAACTTGCATTGGAAAGGTTTCCGTGACCTCTCGCGAGATCTCGGCAAAAAGTCTCACGATTTATTTCCAGAACATGATGCATGATGGGATACACTAAGCCTCGAATACCGCTCCCGAGCGGTATTGGAGATAGTGTGGGTTTAGTGTGCGTTAAGGGCACTGCGCTCTGGCGTTTTTAAGACCTGGGCGCGCGCACGCGCTCTCAAGTGGCCAAGACCGCAAGTGTGGGTATTTGGACAAGACTACTAAATTCTATTATCGCTGCTGACGTCACACACAGGATGGGTTCTTCTTCTTCTTCTTCTTATGATGTTTAATGGCGGTTGGCAAACCAGCTTTTGGTGCATATTCCGCCACCTACTGGGATGGAGTGTGAGGCGATGATATCAAGGGTAAAGCTAATTTAAAAAAAAAAAAAAACCTCTACCTATATTTTATTATATAAATTTGTTCTTTTCAGAAAATTAAAACGGGTTCTTCTTCTTATTATTATTATTGTTGTTGTTCTTCTTCTTCTTCTTCTGTGGGTTTATTGGCGAGTTGCATACCAGCTTTTAGGTGCATATTCCGCCACCTACTGGATGGAGTGTAAAGTGATTTCAGTCTAGGTGTGCATTTTAAAATCTATATTCTGTTCTTAAGCTATCCATAAAATACATTATGCTGTTTTGTTCAGTATTGTTTATGCAATTTATTAAATCATATTTGATTTATAAATATTAGTTTAGACGTTAAGCATTTTTTTTTAATAGACAGCCGTTATTTTCATTGCATTGAATAAACAGTTTAACGCGGTGCATTATTTTGCTCATTGTGCCCCGGCCTCAGCAGACACTGAACACTTATTCAGTCTTCACATAAAATATAAGAAAGGAGATATTTGTTCAAATTTTATTTTGTTATTTTGTTTAAGACTAAAATAAGTTGTTTGTCTTAATAAATTGGGTAAATTAAAAATGCAGTGGTTAAATTTAAACCTTTTTTCTACTGCTCACTGTTTAAGAAAGGTTATAAAAAAGTGTTCAATAATTATCGAAAATTATCGATACAGAACTATATGAAACATTAGCCCTATCTCAGATGTATATAAACTGTTGAATAAATGCATTTCAATAATGCCTCCTCCAACTCTTGATTCTCTGAATGGAATCTGGTCTCAGTTCAGCTAAAATCTGAATTGTAGTGAGGCTTCACCACACGATAAATAATTTCCTCCAGAGCTTTTATTGGTGCGCCTTTTGTTTTTGTAATCAGGCTCTCAAAATGTATATACAAATTAGATTTATGTATTGGTTATTGGCTTCATTATATGTACAAAAAATGTCAGTTACCGTATTGGTGCATCGCTGTGAAATTTAGTAATTAATTTTAAAATTGTGTGTAGAAATGTTGAATACTAATTAAAGTCTTCTCTTGTGATAACTGTCATACATTGCATCACACTGTATGTATATGAAGCCAGACATATAAACACATGTTTCCTCAATTAATTTGAATTCTCTTTTTTGGGTTTTTAATGAAGATCTCAGGGCGCTTCGGTAAGAGGTCACATAAAGTAAAGTTTTTCTCAAAGAGTAATAATTCAAATTAATAGTCAGATATTTTTATATTGATACTGATATTTGTAAAGTGATTTGTGTGCAGTTGTGTTTATAGGTGCTCTTTATTACCAGGGTCTCTGAAGAATTCATTGCAGACGTGTCCAGTGTTGTGTTTAGAAACAGGTCTGATTGCAGCAGACACGTTTGCCAAAAAAAGATCAATCACTGCTCTTGACTAAATAACTTTTGTAACTTTGATTTTATGGATTAATCCGTTTTTGATTTACAGTTTATTGAATTTCTGTACCTGAATGCTACTTGTTAGACCTAAACGTTTCCTAAACTCAATTCAGGTCCTGAGTTCAGTTGATAATATTGGTTAAATAAATATTTAGTGATGTGATATGTCCTCTGCGTGGAGTAACGTCTGACACAGTTACAGCTTGTACTTATAAAAACAAATAGAAAGCAAATAAGTAGCATTAATAGTCATTAATTTTAGTTAACATGTAAAATAAGAAGAAAAATCTATGTTCAAATTTATATGTATACTTGTAAAATAGTGGAACATTAGTTCATTAATATTGTCTCAAAAGTCATAGGAAAGTCATGGAAATTTATTGGTCAAATGTGTACGAACCCTGGAATACAATGACTAATGTCAATAATACATACAAGAGCTGATAGAATAGCCATAAACATATGTAAACCGTTCATCTGAATGTATTTTTTCAGAGCATGATCCTTGTTTTTTTTATTCCCCGCATGAATGAAAATGTCCTGGAAAATAACCTCTGAAAAAGAGTGGGAACTCTGTCTGCACATCCACAACCAACTGAGCAGGGTTTCCGCGGGTCCTTAAATTTGATACAGCTAAATTCAAGACTTTTTAAGGCCATAAAGAGTCTTAAATGGTACAAGAAAGTCTTAATTATGATTTCTGGAGGTCTTAAATTTAGGGACTGAAAGACCAGAATTCCAATATGGCATAATGTGATGATTAAGGCTATGTTTTATTAAATAAACATGAGCTGTGTGCTGCTGTTACCGGGGAAACCGCTGTATTTCTGCTGCTGGCAGAGAATGAATGTGTATTTTCAGTACGCCCATCTGCTGTTTCTGGTCAGACCAATGGGAAAATGTACCTATATTTTTAAGCTTCAGACACGCAGAGTTGTAAATGTGAATTGGTGGATCGACAAGAAAATGGTGCATTATGTTACGATCCCATCCCCAGTCTAGGGTTGGGAGTAACAGGTTAACTAAAACTTGTACAGAAGAAATCAAAAACGTGGAGGAATCACTCCAGTCCTCTGCTCCAGAAAAATGCAAAAAACACCTAGTTTGGCAAACTTAATTTAGGAAAGCCAGAATTATGGAAGCAATAAATGTCTTCTGGAGAGAGCCTGGCCAAAACAACAACCAAAATAGCAGCTGACTAACAGGAGGAGTACTAAATAACCTATGCTCACATAAAAGAAAAGAAATCAACATCATAAGCTTTCCTCAACTCCCTCACTAACCAAAAACAGGGATAAACAGGAGTACAAAACAAAATGGCACCCTCTCCCTACAGCTTCCAAACTAAGCATAAATCAAATAAACCAAAATAAGTTACACTACCTTTTAATACCTTAACAAAAAAGTAAGATTAAAAGTAAATTTACATACACTATATGGTTACAACGCAATCTGCTAGTCAACAGGGATACAACTTACTTTCAGAAGTATTCACTTAACAGATAACTATTTAAGTTACCCCCTCAATCAACAGACATCTTAAAGAGAAAACACCCAACACAAGTCTGGAGAAGTGAGCCTCTCCAAACAGTGCTCAGCTCTTTTGTAGCTGTGTTCCGTCTGCAGCACACTCTCTGATGAGCACCACCTGTGGGTAATTTGAAACTGCCCAGCAAGCTAGAGAGATAGGAGGAGAGAGAGCACACACACAGGGGACACGTAACCACACCCCAAAAGGGTGGGAAAACACACCTCAACAATTACTCTTTAAATAAATACATCCTAGGGATGTAACAATTATAAAAATCTAAACAATTAAGGCAATAAAATACTTCATGTTATTTAATGTTTAATTATATAAAGTTATTTACTTAATATAATAATTGTTTAAATGCATATAATAAATTAGACTTTAGTCATCCAGTTTCTTAAAAACGGCTGAAATGTGCAAATGGCTTCAAATCAGCACATGGCATCTGCACTATAAGTGAGCTGCACAGATGACACGGTAATTGTCACTTGCACAATCGAGGCAGTGTCGCATCGTCACTGAAGTTTATAATTAGCATTTATTTTTAAGTCTTGCCAGTGTTTAAAGCATTCAGCACTCGTGCACTCTCCTAGACACTCAAAGCGCACACACATAAGGCCGACTCACATACAGCTCACCAAATCAGGCTCGTGCTGTGTGTAAGCTATTGTGCTACAATAACCCCACTGTAAAAACAAAAACGCACTGCATGATCAAACATTTAGGTCATTTTAAAATGTCTAAAAAATGCCCTGAATGAATGTCTGTAAAAATCCTGACTGGAGCATCACTATAAATAATTGTACATGATAAAAAGAAATCTTCAAAAAGATCGGTATCGGTGATCGTATCTACTGCTTCCTGATCGGAGCACCCTTGCCCTAAATAAATAAAACACTGCTGATGTGATCTTATCGCTAGCACACCCTGAGCACATGTGAGCTATTCGTCTTATCGGCAAGACATATCTGCATAATTTCTCATATCGGGCCAATGCCGATATGTGCATTTTAAGCCTTTTATCGTCTGATTCCGATAATATCGTGCATCCCTAGTGATTAGCACTTTTCATGAATAATTGTACAGCTGTAACCTTGAGCATGATTATTTATATGTTTAATTGTGCAGCCCTTGTATCAGTTAGTGTATGTGAACGGAAGCACATGAGCATCATATGATTCATTATTATTATTGTTTGTATGATTTTAGCTCGCTGTCTCGAGCTTCACAG